AAACTTGAATATAGCCCAGTAAGACTTGTGTAGTATTTTAGTGATAAAGCTAAACAGTAACTGCAGAAATACAGCTACTCATTCAAAATTCTTATTTTGCCTTTCTGTGTTTTCCCCTCTTTTTATAGACACTGTTAAGTGACTCCAACATAGCTTTCTAAAAAGATGAATCAACTAGGAGAGGGAATATTATTAGAGAAATTAGAGTAGTTAATATGAGTTTATTAGTTTTAGGAATCAGGGGGTTTACAGAAAGAAACTCAAGTGGCCAGCAGAAGCAGATGATCTGAAAATACCACCTTCAGGTATTTAGAACATTTTTGCTCATCATGTAGGATATGTCTGGCTTCTGCCATGCTAACGTGCCATGCACCATCTGCTGGCTATGGTGCACAAGCATAGGGAATCAGTCAGCAAATCCCCATTTCTGTGATATATTTGTCCTATTCTACTTAATTAACAGATGAGAGCTCACACTGCCTCTGCATCTCTCTGAGCTTCACTATAATTTCTTGGTGGATTAAACTTTTTATCAGGCATTTTCTAGACTTAACTCCTATTTTAGCAGCCTAACCTAAAGTAACAGGCAAATTGAGAACTGAAAAGAGAAGAAGAAGAAAAAAATCCCATGTATTTATAGACTTTAACACAAGAAAAGGCAGTAACTTCTTTCAATTAACAAACTATTTTTTTTTCCATCCATCAACAAGAAAACTGTCTGATCACTTCAGAAAGAGAACACATGCTACTAAACGTATTTTCTGAAAAGTGTCCAATTTTTAGTTGTCTTTGGTATGGAATAAGTTGGTGACTTCACTTTCTACAGCAAACACAGTCCTAAATTTTATCTTTTGGAGGGTTATATGGGGGTGGTGGTGAGGGTAAGGATGGGGATGACCATGTATAGTTCCTTGCAACACATCCACCCTCTGGTTTCTAGCATTTGAAGTCAAAATACAATGATTAACACCAGAAAAAATGTAGAGAGCTGAGATGGAAAATCAGTATAATTAGGAAATCTGCTTGTGAACTAACAGCAATGGTATTTTTGGGGCATATAAAATTTCAGTTGGAAAAGGTTATTATAATAATCAGTCAGATTTGCAAACATTTCATTTTAATTAGGCTGCTAGTATAAAATTGCCTGTATTATGGCAGCCTAAATTTGTTTCCAAACTCCAAAGCCACAGAAATTAATTTTTTCCTGACAGGATGTTGCTTGCAAGTGTACACATATAACGGGTGAAATCTTGGTGTTCTGAAAATCAGCGGTACTTCTGAAATCATGGCCTGGCTAAAGCTGATGGCCTCGCAGCTATCAACACTGCTGCAGGTCTATGCTGCTGTGGCTATTTCTGACAAAAGCATTTTGCTAAGTAAAACAATTTTCTGTAGGAACATAATTTATTAAGCTCTGATTGATAAAGGGTTTTTTTAATGCTGAGTTGCAATACCTGGTCAAAATTAGAAACAAATGCACCCCAGAACAGTCAGTACACTAATGATGAAGATACTGCCATGGGATGAACTTGTTTTTAAACTGTCTACATTGGTCACTGAAACATACAGTTTGAAAAATGTCTGGAAGTCAACACTTGTGGCAGTTCAGAATTTCTCATAAATAATAAACATTTCATACCCAGTCCTACTCTTCATTACTTTCAGGCAAAAATTCCCAATGAATACAGTGACTCATGAGAGTTGTTAGTGAATAACCACTTTGCCATGATGGTATTTAAAATGAAAAATTTGTTTTGCTGTGACACATTCTAATAATTGTCAAACCTCTTTCTTCCCTTCTGCCTTAGTTTTCCTTTCTATTATCATGTAAAATTTTTTAAGCATTTGCACGCAGAATTGTTAGCCAGTGATAACAGTGGACTATGCTGTGGGAAGTCCACAGGTGAATCCTTCAAAATTTGAAACCTTGTACTGGTGCTATTTAAAAACACACATACTTGTTTTTTCTGTAGCTCAACCATAAATTGATTTCCTACATGGACACCACTGGGAATATCAGTTACAAAATTCCCTCTCAATCCTCCTTACTACTCCTGTCAGCCAACACCTGTGCTAAGAGTACAGGACTTTTGCTTAAACATTGCAACCCATGACAGTGTTCCTTGTGCTGCTCAGTTGGACTCCTTGTGCCTTGACCAAGAAGTACCTGAGACACAAACAAGCTGTAGGAATGTACCACTATCAGAAACATTCATTCAGAAAGTCCCGCAGAAGTGTTTAACAGAGCAGAGATTGCTGCTTCCTCCTCTGAGAGAATTCTATTTCTGCTTGATGTGATGGAACATCATAAAATATGTGTGTAAGATCCAGCTGTGTCCCTTTTCTTCCCCCAAACAAACAAACAAACAAACAAACAAAAAACCGTTCAGAAAAGTCACAATGTTTTTCCTGTACTGAGTATGACACTTCATTTATCCATAATAGGTCATTAACTCATAGGAATCCTCATTCAAACACCTCCTATCCTCATTCCTCGCCACAGAACGAGGTCCTTGCCTGAATCCAGCTCTATTCTCTTTTGATCAGAAAATGTTGGCTGACTGGAGCCACTGGGAGGTCAGGAATGTCAATCCCCTGTCAAGAAGTGGGCAGGCTGTGGGGAAAATGATAAAAACTGCAGTTTTGAGGCAGATACCATATATGAAAGCATTATGTAACCATTACAGAACTAGATTGTTTTGAATGTCTTACCATGCCATTTTAGCAGTTCTGTTTCCCAAGTAGACACCTAATAGAAAGTCAAACCCATTGTGCAGGTTTCTCTCCAGATTATGCAGAAATAAATATTGAAAGAGAATGAAACACAACCTTGTTAAGTGATTAGTAATTGCTATATTCAGTTGTGAAGTCTTTCACAATGTAATAGTTAAAATCACCTCTACAGTATGAAATGCAAGTTTTGAGGGACTAACTACCCTATAACCCATGGTCCATATCTAAAGATAAACTCATGGTGAAACTTTACTGAAATATATGTACTTTTTAAAAAAAAACAGTATGAGAAAACATTATGTGGAATGATGACAGACTACTTTAGTCTTGAAACTGCAACTAACACTTCCGTAGGTTGATGTTTCTAATCAGATACTTTAAGAGATGTCTATCTATAGACAGACACTTATCATCACAAGAAACCAAAGTCAGAGCAAGTGATTACTACCTGAAAAACTTACTGCAGAACATTCCATGAAAAGCAGCATTTGTTACAAAGGTCTGATTTGCTTGTCTATTTCTACAATGATTGATAGCATTCACCTCACGAGACCATTTTTTTTTGCAGAAATTTCTCAATAGGATGTTAAACACCAATGGTAGGCTTGAAGAAGAAGAGACTCATCCTCATGTGATCAAGAGGAGGGTGTTAAATATGATAAATCAACTGGATTTGTCACCTTTCAGTTTCAATCTGTTATATACACAGGGGGTTTTTTACCTTAAAAAAACCAAAACAACCACAAACAAAAGAAAACAAACAAAAGAAAACAAACCACAAAAAATTTGTCAACCTCCTGTTTGTGGAAGACGGTATGGATGACAACAACTAGCATTATTGGAGTCTCATAAGCACTAGAAAATTTTCAATACTTAAGAGATTCTTATTCTGGTTTTGCTAATATTGTAATTAGAAAGTAATGTTAAACAGCTGAGATTAAATATTTGCCAGAGATTCAGACTTGCTTATATTTTTTTAAGGATTTCTTTTTTTAATGTAGGGAAAAGAGGAAGAGGGGGAGTAAAATTATTAATTTCTACCAGTCTGTCCTAATTTCTCCTTGTATGAACATTCACAAAGGAGGAGAAAAGGGCACAGATCAAATTATACTCTTTAAGTCTAGTCTCTGTCATTAAAGTTTGCAGAAAAACAAATGTCCATCAAAGTTTCTTTAGAAAATATATAAATTTAGGTCTGCAACTGTCTGGTAGAAATGCCTATTCAGTTTTAATTCCCTCCTTAGCCTTCATTAGAGCAATTGTATCTGTTTGGCTAGGGTAGTCTGTAGATAAGAATGAGGATAAAATAAAGAACACAGTCTTATGGACTGTGGAGACTTGCTACACTGTGTCAAATTTGGTTTAATTCTGAGAGAAGGGTTGAGAGCTTCTGCTCTGTTTTGATGTTGTTCGAACATAAACAATAATATTTGGATTTGCATACCTTCAAGCTTTTGCTGTCACGCCAGAATAAAAGCTGGTTTGTACAGTTAAAATAGCAACACATTGCAACACTATCACAATACCTTAACATTTAAGCCAGGTATTTCAGATGATTTACATAGCTATAAGAGACTTATTCCAAGGAAAACTTACTCACACGGTGTGAAGTCAGAGGTATTGGCCAAAAAAAATTAAACTGAGCCTAGAGCATTCATCACATCAATACACTGTTGAGGTGCTACTTATGGATGCAGGAAGACGAGTACCCACGTCCTTCCCACCTGCACCTTGGGTCCTGGCTTCCCCCTGTGTTCTACAGAATGGACTCTGCAGAATCCTACAGGGTTCTGTCTGCAGCATGAAGGAAGGATCCCAATGTAAGGTTTATCCCTTTATCTTACATGGCGCTGCAAATACTTGATCTCTTTTGTTCTGCAAACATTTATAAAAATCCAAGAGATTTGGACTCTATAGGTCACATTTGTTTCACATAGAACCTATATGTGATATATTTATGCACAATATTCAGGCATAAATTAATAAAGCCATATAGTTTTGAGGTACTAGATACCAGACACTGCTAAGGTAACATAACTTTTTCTGCAAAGCCTGTACATTAAAAAAATCCCACTACTTCTACCAAAATCATTGCATTAAGGAAGGCAGAAGATGAATGATGATTTTAAAACAAGATCAAGCAACAACATGGTGAAGAAGTCCTGATTTTAAGCTCAGGATATTCCTTCTGCATCTATAAACAAAGTATTAATTATTACCAAAGCATATTAATAAATTAATCACAAGTCAAAGTAGAAATCAGATACCTTCAATGTTCTGTGGACCAACAAGATTCATAGCCTGGTGTGCTGGATATTCTACCCGGGGTCTGGCAATGCCCAATTGCTCCATAACCCCATGGAGGAGCCTTTGTATATCTGCTTCAGTAACCCTGTCAGGCATCCTAGGGCTGTGGCTAAAAGCTGAAGCCAATCCAAATGCCAGCAGAAATATCATGTTGCAAAACAAGGTGGTTGTCATAGTGGTAGCCACTTTTATCCTGTGAAAAAGAAAAGAATTTGATTATAAATTATAGCAGGGGAAAAAATCTTGTACACATGGTGGAAATAACATCCGATCTTACCACCGGACATCACAGTTTACTACCACTGTTTCTAGGGGCAGCTGAAAATCTAGCCAGCTGGAAACTAAGAGGGGGGAAACAGGATGGGTTTGCTCTTCTCTTCTGAAAGAAATATTAAGTAGCAAACTGCAGAAATCAGTTTTCTGATTTGTATTTGCCCATAACATTCATTACAGTCACTGCAAACAAAATGAATCCACTTTTTCATTTAATGAGAATACGTCATCCACTACACCCCTCCCCTTCCTCTCCCCCCCATGTTTATTATGCTATTTTATAAAGCTCTGGACAAAGAACTCTTCAGGTAGGAACTGTATTTTCCAAGCTCTATTCTCGCATTGACTGAAAAATGAATAATGAGAGATCACTGAACAACCTAGATACGGTTTATTTGCACCTGAAGACGAAAGGTTTCCTACTTCATATGCATCATCTTTCCCACCTGAAGCAAACTGATTTGTTTCCTTGAATCCCTTTCACTAAATAGCTGCTCAGTGCAGTTTAAATAGGAAAAAAAGAAAGCCAAAGCCAACAACACAAAGAAAAATATCAACTAAGTATCCCTTACTATCTTCTTTGAGAGGCTGAATTTTAATCAGAATGCTTGTTTTCTCAAACCTCCTTTCCCCCTCACATCACAAAATAATTAAAATGCATCACTTCGAATCCCTTGGATAAACAAAACCCCTCCACTCCTTGTCCCCTCCCCCCACCCCGTGTGTCCTTAACATATGCCCAGCTGTCTGATTTCTCCACTCCAGACAGTAAAAGATGCTCCAATACTCCAGCCGCCCGACGCAAGGCACCTGGAAACGTCTTTGAGGCAAAAATGGCTGAAAACGCCAGTGCTGGGAATATTCCCAGCAACGCCTGTGCGCGGCTCCCCCACACCACTGCACACCCCTCGCAAACCTCCTGCTCCATCAGCCCCCGTAGCCTGTTTCGAGGAAAAAAGCCCTTTTCCTACAGAACATTCCCGTAAATCCGCAAACGAGCAGGGCTGCCGCTCCGCTGCCCGCCCCCCCGCGCCCTTCTGAGCCGCCCCCCGGGCAGCTGGGCCATGACCCGGCCCCAGGGCAGCCCTGAGGCAGCACCGACCCCCGGGCCGGGCCGGGCCGGGTCGCCCCGCGGAGCGCCCCGCTCACCTCCCGCTCCCGGCGCGGCTCTGCGGGTGCGGCGGCTCCGCGGCCGCGCATCCTCCGTGCGCACACACCGCCTCCCCCTTCCCCGCGCAGGGAGAGGCCCGGGGGACGCGCAGGGACCGTGCCCTCGCCGTGGGGGCTTATCCCGTTAAGAAGATGACACAAAGCTCGTGGAGATATCAAAGATCTCCCTTTTCAGTTAAACACAATAGTCTAAAAATAAAACTGCAGGGTTGTGATGGATTAACAGTTACAGAAATAAGCTATTACATATTCCTGGGACTGTATCTGTCTTCCCGCTGTGATTTCTCTTCCCTGAATAATATGATCAATGGTTTACTTATGGAATGATAGTGTTTACCTAACTACAGGTTTACAAGGTATTAACATGGGAATCGTGCTCCAAGGATTTATAGGTGAAGGTCCCCAGATAAGGCAGATCTATACACATCATCCATAGCAAAAGTTACCAAGAAGACAACTGTAAAAGGATCTTGCTAAATGAAGTCCACCACTTAATAGCACTTCGCAAAATGGTAACTTCTAAAGGCTAGTTTATGTATCACATCTTCACTGCTACTGGCGGGAACGTATCACATTTCTTTAGCTAGCTCTCCTAAAATGGAAAGCTCAGAGGTTATACTGCATAAACCCCAACAGACCCACAACCTACACTTTCAAACATAGACTATTCTCTCTTTTTGCTGTTCTGTAGTACATTATATGAGCAAGAGTAAGCAGTAGGGACTTCGACTTGGTATCTAGTGTTTCTTTCTGCAAAACATAATCAATTTTATATAAATGGATATATATCAAAACTGTTCTGCAAAACCTGTAAAAACAGAGCCTAAACCTTGACAATTTTTTTAATAGCATTTAAAGCTTTCTTTGCCAGGGTCCTACCAAATTCTCCTTTCTGACATTTAAGTCTAGTGGTTCAAGACTGGCTTGCATCGATCATCAAAAGTAGCTTATTGCTCCATCTGGGACACATTGTCAAAGCTACACTAGCATTCAAAGTATTTGGTACATAATAACAGGGGGAAAAAAAACCTCAAGTCTTACTCTTCCAAACAAAAACTGATGTGACAGCTCACTATTACAGGAGTCAGATCTCATTTTCTTCATGACATTGCCTTTATTTCCTTCTGTCCTATTTTCAGCTCCTACCTCCTCGCATCTACTATGAAAGCTGGAAGTTGTTTTGCTGATCCTTATTTACCTCAGTGAGAAGATACAAAATGTGGTGCTCTGGTGCCTGCATTTAATCAATTGAAGGATCTACCAGCACCAGCTAAAGGCAGAGGGTAAGAGCATGTTGCCAAGAGCAGGAGCTTCCTCTTTGGATGGTGGTGAACTGTTACATCAACTTCTTTATTTCATGAAACTGGAGCTTCAGTTTATGAAAGTGAAGCTTCATATTTAACCACAACACCAAGCAATCCTGTTAAGATATTCTCAAGGCTGTTTCCATAGTGCTAGATCTTAACAGTAATGTAGCAAACAGAGTGAGAGAGGAAATTTCGAACAGATCAAACAGCTGAACCCATTCAGCTTGCAAGTTGGTAGACACAGGGGGAAGAGAGGCAGGGAACAGAAAGAACTATTCCACTCATTAACATACTGTTTAAGGTCAGAAGACTATTGCTGATAAACTGTGTTGCACCACGCCTTTTGCTAGTTGTGAGAATCACCAACCTGTATGTAAGACGAACAAAAAAGACAGCCAGAACAGATTTGCTTCTGACTTCAGCTTTCTCAGAGTTACTAATTTTGGTGTCTACAGTCTGCATATAACAACATAATCTAACCTTTTAAGTCGTTATAGAAGAACAAGTTCAGAAAAGGGGAAAAAAACAATGGTTTTATTAAAACCAAAATATCCAGTGCTTCAGTTCTAACATTTTGCCAATAAACAATTTGCATATATAAAAAGCTACTGAATAGTTTCAAGTGTTTACTCTTAAATAATTTTACAACTGATGGCAGACAAACAGTTTTCATTCTAAAAAATACAAACATTTGCTTGTGCAAATCAACTTTTAACACACTATGGCTTCTTACATTCGTCTCTTGCAACACTTTCAGCATCTAAAACTGGCTTCTGCACCATCTAGTTAACACTATTGCTCTAAAAATAAGTTAAAACTCCCTCTCACATTAAGACAAAACATTTTACTGCTTACAACTGAAAATACTTGGTACCTATTGCAGAGCACATCACTGGATGAAGTTTTTAAGACTTTTTGCTTTTTAAATAAACTTCACATTTGTTTTCCACATGTTCTATTAATTCTCCAGCGTGTGCAAGCATGAGTTTTTATTCTGACATTCACCTACACAACAAGGAAAATATGTTCCCAATTTACTCCAACAGAAATTAAACAATTGTCTCAAAAGGCATAGAGCTCATATAAGATACAACTTAGTAGTACTGAGTAGTGCTACAATACACTTGAAACTAAAAACTAAATAACTTTAACTACCACGACTCAGCATCAAGATATTTTCTTTTACATGTCTGTTAGTTTTGTTTTAAATATTTGAGAGGTGTGGGTCTTTTTTAAACTTGGTACCTAATCTAAATACTGCAAAAACTGTTTTGGGAGATGCAGCATGTTTTTAGAAGCTTAGATAATCAAATTTGAGATATAACACAAATATTTGTAGAAACAGGTTATTCTTGTTTTAGAAGTTAAATTCTTTTAGTTGAACTGACTAGCATTTACAGACGTTTCAGTAAATTAAGAAAACCTCAAAACAAATTAATATTTGTACATCTCCATGACTCATACAGTTAAAATAAATCAAAAATTACAAATAATTAGAGCTAAAAAAAAAATTAAAATTCAGGTTTTTCAAAAGGTTAACCAAGTTACAATGAACCCACTTAGTCACGATATTTGGTCTTATAAGTCTACTGGCTTTGCAGTTGGTAGCAATTTCACTGTGGATATTGGATTCTTTGGAGAACCCCTATAACGAACTCTTTCTTTTCCTGGAGCACTTCTTGTGATTGTAGATTTGTCTGGGGCAACACCCTGAATATTTATATTTGCATTAACTTTCAAACCAGATTTAACCGTTTCATGATTGGTTAGATCTTCTAGAACAGACTTTGATGGATGAATAGTCACTTTTTGATCATGGATTCCAGCAGATCTGACAGAAACATCAGGCTTGCCTGATGGATTAGACAGCCTGCAACATGATTTGGATGTTAAGTTTAGCTGCTTATGACATACAGAAATTTGGTCACACATACTTTCACTCCTGCATGGCAAAACCATGGAATTCTTTGAGGGCTTTTCTGTGCAGGAGAATAGTGCAGAATCACAGCTCAAAGATTTAACAAGTGGTGAACCAACACTGCTTGATTTAAGTGGCTGAGAGCTTACAGATCGTCTGTTAGCCTCCAACAAAGAATTCATTCTTCTTACAGACTGTCTAACTGGAGTACGTTGAAACTTCAGAGGTGGTTTAGTTTCGCTTGCAGAACTTGGATCATTTAATGAAAGCTTGTTGAACCACTGTATGTGGTCAGAAACCTTTCCACGGTCAGAAACAGTTGAAGTTTTAGTTAAAGTTTTATCAGAATTTTCAGCTTTCAAGTATTGGTTGCCTACGTCATTTTGCAATTTAGGCAACTGTGAAGTAGGAAGCTGTCCTGCCGAAGAAAGTTTAGCAGTACCTTCTTCTAAATTACAGCATTTTACCACACAGTTTTCAGCTTTTTGTGAGTGTATTAATTCTATTTCCTCTTTCCTTCCAAAGAAATCTGATTTGTTTAAGTCATCTTTTGTTGAACTGTTTTGAACAGTCAACTTGTCTTCCCTGTCTGGTACTTGAGGCACAGGAAATTCTGTTACTTTTTTTGTATCTAGTTTTGGGACCTGAAGTTCAATCTCAAGAGATGTTTTGAAGTTTCTTTTCTCCAAAACTTTAATTTCAGGGGGTTTTGACTGCTGTTTATCAGCAGCAGAAGATTGATTAAATTGGTGCAACAGCTCTCTGGATTTTACATTTCCTAGATTTTCAGA